ACTAACATATTTTGAACATTATGAAACATAATTAAACAAACCACAAAGATGCAATAAAAAAGTTTACCATATTTTAATTTAATCTGATTATTGGAATTTAGGATATAAACAAATCAGGCAGAAACATCTGGAAGATATTCCCAGGAGCTTCACCAAAGTTAATTTTCATTTTATGTAGTATAGACAATGCACATTTTGTCAAACAAACACATTTTAGATATTGTGAAAAGTGTAAAGAAGGATCAGCGCTTAAAAACTTAAATAAAGGCAGCACACCTAAAGGATAGGGCTCCCTCACAGGCCCTATAAGTGAAAGGGTTAATCAACTTCTCTTTAACCCCCTCAGTTGTCGAATCTCCGATCACAACATCAATTGACGGGAGTTCTTGTTTAGCAAATAACGACAGACACGAAAGAGTGCTTTAACAAGTTCTCAAATGAGTGTATTTTCAGGGCTAGCATTTATACACAGTTTGTCACGCAAGCAGCGAGATTTATCGCTTCCTTATAGTTAATAGTACATACTTCTGTGGCAGTAGAAGATAAGCATTTGAATAAAGACAGAACAGGAACATCCTGAGGCCGAGCAAGGTCTCACATCCTCTAGAAGGAAGACCTTGGTACAAAATACATCTGCCAAAGTCAGCATAATTATTTCAAACATTATTTTAAAGCATATAAAGCAAAAATAGTTTAACTTTTTCATATCCTTTCATTCCCCTCTTTGAGCAAAAATCTGCTCATATTATTGGTTAACATTCTCCCATGACAGAGAAACTTCCACATTATGGCATTACTAAGCAATCATGTGGTCTGCAAGAAACAAACTCAGCAGGAAAAAAAGACACTTAATACTTTTGCAGACAGATATATAGAAAATGGATGTTTAAGACAAAATGGAACTTGGGCTTATAGCAAATATATTATTGCAAATAGCTGAAATGTTAACCAATTTTAAACAGACTAACCAGCCGGTCATCTGTATCATAAGCCCTGGGTAAATATGGGCAAAGTGTATTATTCCCAACAGTTGTTTCCTCCTTTGACCACGGAAGTGGGCGCATATAGTCAAAGTGGGAATAATACCTATCCCCCGTCCAAGGACCGGGTTCTAGGATTACCAGTCCACCCGATGATCTGGGACCAGGCAAAAAACACAGTGGCAAAAACTCATATTTGAGGAAAAAGCACATTTGGGGAAAACCTGAGTGGGGGCCGCGATCGTGTTAGACATGTCATCCCCTCACAGTTGACACCACTTGTGACTTATAATACCCGCACCTGTGAATACATAGCTCGGATATCGGGAGGAATTGGGAAACACTTCTTACATATTAATTCATGAGATAAATTATAATCTAGCTTGAAATTCTCACAACCAGGACCTTGCGTCCATTTCCCTATTCCAAAAGTCCAGTCAAAACCAGTCATATCCTCACGCAGTTCCTCAAAACATGGGAATCCGTCCTTGGCACACTCAACATATATCAAAAACACACATAGTACATCCATCCCTGGGTCAGATAACACTTCCTCTCTCTCTGGCTAACTCTACAAAAATAAAAATAGTTAAATAGTTCAGCATAGTTCAGAAAAATAGAATAAGTCTTTCACAGAGTATAAAGAAATCAGTTTAGACACCAGACATTTTGTTCCATAAAATGACTAAGGGTAGCAATATGGCTGACAACAAGACAATGTCAGCTTCCACATAGTTCTTCTTTTGTTTGCTGGATTTTCACCACAAAGCTCTGTGCAACACCCCAATGGTTGAAAGGGTTATAACAGAACCAGCGGTATTAGACAGCACTGCATCTTCAGAACTTTCCAGGTTCTTGCGTGCAAAGTTTATATCCTCATAAGTAAGTATCTCAGTTTCTTCGGCCTGCATGGATAATGACCAAACAGATGTAATTGCAAAATACTTATTGCATGGTCAGCCAGAGAGATTGGTGTTTAGTCCTAGAAATCAGGCAGCACAAACACACCAGGACGGTCTCTACAATCATACAAACACAAGGATCAATACAACATCATTGATTAATTACCTAGGCTAAAACTTAAATTAGAGATTAAGGTTAAACCCTTAACTTGTGTAACATGTACTTCTCTTATATTTGCTTATATTTTATGCAATCTGTCTTCTATGAAGTTTTACATAATATCGATTTGGAATGCCTTTGTATGGATGAGAGAAGCACTCACTTTATAGAAATGCTTGTTAGACAGGAGGAATATTAAAACACTAGCATATACATATGGGGATAATTCCCAATAAAACTCTGTTCCTAAACTTGCACCTTGATTTGATACTCAAAATTAATTACTTTAATAATCCTGAATAATTCAATACTCTTGGATTAACACCTAAAACTATATAAAATATTAAAAACATGAACCATCTGTGTATTAGGCTGGGGTTGTTGGGTGTGGGTATAGGTTGGAAGCTGTGGTTGGTATTGAGGAATCTGTGGGGGTGGGTTTGGGCACTCTTTTTTTTTTAGTGACCCTGCTATCCACAATTAGAACAGTGTGTTCCACCAATGCTGACGTTGCCACCTCTACAAAAGTTAGACCCTTTGACCAAATCCTCTACCTCTGCCTTTAAAACATATCTGATTCAATCACCTATCGCCTCCCAAATTTCTTTGTCTCGCCTGCTTAGGATCACAATCCTTGTGACTGATACAACATACCTTTTCCTTCTTTCTTTCTATCAAAACAACCTGCTGTATCTTTCTCATGAATCTTCCCAAGAAATTCAGTTGGGGTCAAAAAGGGCCAGTCACAGACCAACAAGGAACAAAAGTGAACAAGGAGGAAGCATATTCCATATGCAGGTCGGGATTACCGAACTCACACCCCCCTCTTTGTGTACCTCTCTTTGTGTACCACACAGATATAATATTAATAAGCTTTTAAAGGTTTATAGGACCACTATAGTGCCAGGAAAACATACTCCTTTTCCTGGCACTATAGTGCCCTCCCGCCTGGGTCTGGAAAGGGGAAAAGGGGTAAAACTTACCTTTTTCCAGCGCTGGGCAGGGAGCTCTCCTCCTCCGATCCTCGTCCTCTCCTCCCCGTCGGCTGAATGCGCATGCGTGGCAAGAGCTGCACGCACATTCAGCCAGTTGCATAGGAAAGCATTATCAATGCTTTCCTATGGATGCTTGCGTGCTCTCACTGTGATTTTCACAATGAGACAGCCGCTAGAGGCTTTGGGGGAAGGATTAACCCATTTATAAACATAGCAGTTTCTCTGAAACTGCTATGTTTATAAAAAAATGGGTTAACCCTAGCTGGACCTGGCACCCAGACCACTTCATTAAGCTTAAGTGGTCTGGGTGCCTAGAGTGGTCCTTTAATGTATAGTTAAATTGTGTATATAAAGCAAAGTTGTCTAGGGGTATATACATCGACAATGAAAGCATGAGACAGGAAGGGGTGCTGCTAAGCTACTGCTGCTGTAAGCGCGGTGCTTTATCTTTGTGTTTGTATGTGAGATAATTAAGTCAGATACAATATTATACAGTATTCTCTGTCATTTAGGAGTTGTTTCTATTTATGCAGCACTAGACACACCTCCTGTTGCTATGAATAAATTCCGCTAACTTCCTTTTTTTCTTTTTAATCACCTGCTCTGTAAATTGGCCTTTAATCCCACACAGTAGGCATCTGCGAGGTCTAGAAGGCTATTAACATGATATGAGATAGGACATTCAAAATTAATACAGAATGTGTAATAAAGGACGTTTAAATCACTCTTTACAGAAAGTGTGTAGGAATGTGGAAAGGTGTGACAAAGGCTGTAACAATAAAGTGATTTAACTCCTAAACGGGAGAAAATTGAGCTTTGAGAATGCAGTGGCGTGAATTATACCCCCAAAACCACTCCATTAGGCTAAAGTTGTTTTGGTGCCTATAGTATCCATTTAAATGTAATGCAATATTACTAAATCAGTAAGTGACTATGTAGCTATAGGGTTTCCAGTTGTGAACAAGCTTAGCTACCTGACATGTTTAAAATTAGATTTCCTGCTAGTCTATTTGGAGCAAAAAGGAGAGTTTTGTCTGACACATAGGCTAGGTTTCTCTAGAATTGCCCCTTCCCCACCTCTATGCTTTTATGTTTCCTTTCCTCCTCCGCAAGAATTATGTACCCTTTCTGTACATCTTCCTGATTTTGTTAATATTTAAAGTTTGTATAATTGTTAACTATATATGTACATTTTCAAAATATCTCCATTTATATTTTTTAAATAAATATAATGGTAGTGTATATTTTAATTTATCTAATACTGCGTCTGGGGGTGAAGATCTAGATACTCACTGTTGGTACATTGAATTTCCCCATGAATAAGCATGAATGATTTAGAATTACCTATTAAGAAATATTTGTTATACATCATCAAAACAAGTGAATCATTAAAGCTTGTTATTGTTATCCCTTGTAACATTTTCAAAGCTGTTATCAGCTTTCAACATTAACTGTCAAACTCAACCTTAAGCTGAATAAAAACACAATTATCAAAAAACATCAATTACATATTTTCATGTCTCATCTATACTTTACTGAAGCAAGGTTCCTTCAAGAGTCCTGGGGGATATCATATAGCACTCTAAAGCAGTCACTAACTATGTTATTGCTACCGAATATGTGTACCATTTGCTATCAGAATGATTGCTTTTGTTACAGCGGCAAGGGAACATTAGCAATTACTTAGAGCACTTCTGGTTACTCTATGCAATATTATGAGAAAATGCAAAATATATTAAGATCAGCACTTACATCCAGTGCTACATTTCTTTTATTTTCGTTGTGTTTACTGAAAAACACACAAGGGTATTGTAATGGTGTGTACACGTGGTTCCCCGAGGAAAGGTTAATTTGCAGGAGTCTGTCAGCCCTGTGCTGCAATGTATCTAATTTGGCATACCTACACAGGCACAGGAGGTTTATTTAGTAAATCTCATGCAGGGCAATGGCAGCTTTCCAGAGCTTGGGTTTATGTTTAGACTCTTTATATTCTCTTATGTTTAGTAGTAGCTGGATAACAGTGAGATTGTTATAATTTAAGTTACTGTATATATGACAGCATTGTTGAATTTGCTTCGTTTAAAAAGGGTTGTCATGTAATCACATACCTTGAAGAAACAAAGGAACTTTGGTTTTGTTTTGACTTCCCTTATATCTTGTATCCTCGACTTTTGGCTTTCCCTCATCTTTGTGTCTGATTCTGATAGTAGCTGTTGACATTATAGTTGAGCAGGCACTTTGTTAACTCTAGAGAACCTCAGGCATTCGAATGTCATCCATATCAACTTCCGATGCCAGTTTCTGCGCCTACCATGGTGACCACGGGTAACGGGGAATCAGGGTTCCATTCCGTACAGGGACCCTGAGAAACGGCTACCACATGCAAGGAAGGCAGCAGGCACGCAAATGACCCACATCCGACGCGGGAAGGTAGTGAAGACAAATAACAATACAGGACTCTTTAGAGGCACTGTAATTGTTATGAGTCCACTTGAAATCCTTTAACTCTGATCAATTGGAGGGAAGTCTGGTGCAGAGCCACTGACCCGTGTGCTGCAGCTGAAACTCCATTATTGCCTGCTGCTGCTCGCACAGTCTCATGAGGCGGTGAGCGGGAAGGCCGAAGTTACGCTTCAGCGCAGAAAGGCGAGCAGCAGCAGGGTGAGAACGCTGAAAGCGTGCACAGTTGCTTCCGTGAATGTCACATCCTGTTCCAAGTTGCAGATCAGTCTGGTGATGGCTTCTGGTATCCAGTACTCTTTTTACTGAAGCTGCATCAGGGTCCTGGTATGTTGCCGCACAAACGCTGGTACTCAACACCAGGGGGCGTGCGGTTACACTGCACCAGACCCTGCTAATCCATTCCACACTGTGACTCCTCACTTCAACATCAGGCATACTGGGTCCCGGTCGTCCGACCGCCGCCCAGACAGTGTCTGGGTCCTGGTCACTGGACTGCCCACCTGACTGTGAAACTACGAATGGATTGTTAAATCTGGTACGAACCCGAACTTTGCACTTCGGGTTCGCTCAACTCTATTATGGATCCTTTGATCGCTACATGTATTACTTGGTTAACTGGTAATTCTCAAGCTAATACATGCCGACGAGTGCTAGGGGACGGCTGCTTCCCTTTTGCACCATAAGCTGTGCTGGTGCCTCTGTGCAACCAGCGACTCTTCCTCCAAAATGCACACGTCACTCGCATGACCTTGATTCCATGTGGGGTCTAGGACCTCATCATCCTCCACATCATCTTCCACCCATTCCTCAACCCTGCCCTCCTTGCTGGTATGCACACTGCAGAAAGCCACAGCTTCGGGGTGCCACTGGCGGCGGATAAGACGGAGGGCCCGACGGGGAGCCTCAGCTTCTTGGGGCTGGAAATAGATTTGGTGTGCGGGGAATGCCAGCTGCCGCTGTCCAAATTGGAGGGACTGCGGTCCACAGTGGGCGTGGTGCGGCAGGCGCGCAAGGTGACACTTCAGCGGCTGCAATCGCTGATAGGATGCTCAACTTCGCCTGCAGGGTGATACTGATGGGTAGGGTGTTTAGCCGCAGCCTGTCAGCAGATACCGCGGGGGCATGGTCCCCGCACCATTTCATATGGGTATCTTCGTCCATGCGGGGCGACTTGGTAGTTTGGGACACCTTCTTACGGGATTTCAACGGGATGGTGTTCTTTCGGCAGGAAGGAGTGTCGGCGGCCGAATTGGAGGGGGTTTGGGGCCTACTTCGGTGGGAGATGGTGCGCGGAAAAGTGGCCTGTTGGTGTGGGGGCAGAGCCCCCTCATGCGTAACTTGGCTTTCCTGGAATTGTTGGCCACAAAATGTACTATTTAGCAGATTAGCACCCAGAAAATAAGAATGTTTACCACTGCTCTGTAAGCACACTATTAGACGCTTCGATTTGACTCTCAGATATGAAGTGCACCGCAGGCCGCAAATGTACTATTTAGCAGTTTAGCAACAAAACAATTAGAATTTTTACAACTGCACTGTAACTGCACTATTTGACGCTTCTATTTGACTCTCAGATATGAAGAGGAGTGCCCAAATTTACCATTTAGCAAATTAGCACCCAGAAAATTTGAATTTTTACAACTGCACTGTAAGCACACTATTAGACACTTCGATTGGACTCTCAGATATGAAGTGCACCCCACTAAAATACTATTAAGAGGTTTAGCACACCAAAAAATGTAAGTTTTAAAACTGCAATGTGACAGCAGTATTTGACGCTTCTATTTGACTCTTAGATATGAAGAGCATGCCCAAAATGTACTATTTAGCAGTTTAGCAAAACAATTAGAATGTTTACAATTGCTCTGTAACCGCAGTATTTGATGCTTCTATTTGACTCTCAGATATGAAGTGCATGCCCCAAAATGTACTATTTAGCAGATTAGCACCCAGAAAATATGAATTTTTACAACTACGCTGTAAGTACACTATTAGACGCTTCCATTTGACTCTCAGATATGAAGAGCAGGCCACAAAATGTACTATTTATTAGCACCCAGAAAATAAGAATGTTTACCACTGCGCTGTAAGCACACTATTAGACGCTTCGATTTGACTTTCAGATATGAAGTGCAACGCAGGTCGCAAATGTACTATTTAGCAGATTAGCAGCAAAACAATTAGAATGTTTACCACTGCGCTGTAAGCACACTATTAGACACTTCTATTTGACTCTCAGATATGAAGAGCAGGCCACAAAATTTACTATTTAGCAGATTAGCAGCAAAACAATTAGAATTTTTACAACTGCGCAGTAAGCACACTATTTGATGCTTCTATTTGACTCTCAGATATGAAGTCCACCGCAAGCCGCAAATGTACATTTTAGCAGATTAGCAGCAAAACAATTAGAATTTTTACAACTGCGCTGTAAGCACACTATTAGACGCTTCGATTTGACTCTCAGATATGAAGTGAACACCTCAAATATTCTATTTAGCACCAAAAAAAAAATTGACTTTTGAAAACTCCAATGTAAGCAGCAGATTAGCAGTAAAACAATTAGAATGTTTACAACTGTGCAGAAAGCGCACTATTTGACGCTTCTATTTGACTCTCAGATATGAAGAGCAGGCCCAAAATGTACTATTTAGTAGATTAGCACCCAGAAAATTAGAATTTTTACAACTGCACATTATTAGACACTTCTATTTGACTCTCATATATGAAGTGCACCCCACTAAAATACTATTTAGCAGTTTAGCACCCAAAAAAATTAAGTTTTAAAATTGCAATGTGACAGCAGTATTTAACGCTTCGATTTAACTCTCAGATATGAAGAGCACGCCCAAAATGTACTATTTTGCAGTTTAGCAGCAAAACAATTAGAATATTTACAATTGCTCTGTAAGCGCACTATTAGACGCTTCGATTTGACTCTCAGATATGAAGTGCACGCCCCAAAATGTACTATTTAGCAGATTAGCAGCCAGAAAATAAGAATTTTTACAAGTGCGCAGTAAGCGCACTATCTGACGCATCTATTTAACTCTCAGATATGAAGAGCACGCCCAAAATGTACTATTTAGCAGTTCAGCAGCAAAACAATTAGAATGTTTACAATTGTGCTGTAAACGCAGTAATTGACGCTTCTATTTGACTCTCAGATATGAAGTGCACGCCCCAAAATGTACTATTTAGCAGATTAGTACCCAGAAAACTAGAATTTTTACAACTGCGCTGTAAGCACACTATTAGACACTGCTATTTGACTCTCAGATATAAAGAGCAGGCCCCAAAATGTACTATTTAGCAGATTAGCAGCTAAACAATTAGAATGTTTACCACTGCGCTGTAAGCACACTATTAGACGCTTCTATTTGACTCTCAGAAATGAAGTGCACCCCACTAAAATTCGATTTAGCAGTTTAGCACCCAAACTTTTTTACATTTTAAAACTGCAATGTGACAGCAGTATTTGATGCTTCTATTTGACTCTCAGATATTAAGTGCACCCCACTAATATACTATCCCACTAATGTACTATTTAGCACCAAAAATTTTTTTACTTTTTAAAACTCTGATGTAACCGCAGTATTTGAAGCTTCTATTTGACTCTCAGATATGAAGTGCACCCCACTAATGTACTAGTTTGCAGAATTCTTTCCTAAGCTGTTCCTCACAGTGGCAGCATCCTCTCCCGACACTAATAAAACCTCATGTGCATGTGGTGCTGGGTCACATGCTGCACTGGCCAATCACAGCCATGCCATTAGTAGGCATGGCTGTGATGGCTTTCAAGGGCACACGAGTCAAACGCTTGTTGATTGGCTGCCCTGCAGCATTTGAAAACGTGCCATTAAATTGCCGAACACCGAACTCCAACCCAAACATACGGTTCACTCAACTCTAGTCACAAGCTGTATGTATACTCGCGACCATATATGTGGGGGAAGAACGTAATTGGCTGCTTGCATGCAGTGTGTATGTTCGCTGTAGACATATAATTGACGGAAAAATTTGATTGGCCGGTTGCAAACTAAATGTATGCTCCCACAGACCATATTTGATGGGAAAAGACAACAGAAAAAAAAGAAATATGATAAGTCAACCACAGATCATATAGATATATCTCAAGCTTATCATTTGAAGAAAAGAATACCTTCATTGAAAGGACTCTTTATTTTTAATTTAGATATATCTTTCCTTTGTTCTTGTGCACCATTTGAGCTTTTTGTTTTGTTTTTATTTCACTTGTTTTTGTACCATCTTTGTTTTAATTATATTATACATTGGCTTATTTAGCTCCACCTGGTTTTCTAATAAATATGAAAATGAAATATTGTGGTGCGGTCACATAAATGCCCTGAAATGTTACCTTTTACCAACTTAGCTGTATATTTTCAGATCATTTCCACATAAATTGTTATGGGCATATGCCAATATTACAGGTTTTAAGAACAAGAAGTTGTATTTATAAAACTGTGTACTTTGTCTTTGAGATTTTGCAAACTAACAAATTGCTAGGATTGGAACATATTGATTGTCTTAAAATAATTCTTTAATAAATGACCTCTTACCCACTATCAGTTAATATGATGTTTAGACTTTAAGATGCCATCTTGTCCTAGGTTAGTGTGACACCAATTTACGGTATTGCCTAAATCGTGTCCAACCTTAGGTTTTAGTCCAAACATTGAAAAGATGTCTAGGTCATGGTAATAGACTCATTAAGATGTTCATATGTGAAATGAATAAGTCAAGTCTATGTCATTTAATGATCATTACCTCCTCTCTTTGACAAATTAAAGTAGATCCTAGCATGACCAAAATGAAAATCAAGAGTATAAATTTGTTCTTATTAATACTGGAGATAGAGGTTGACATGTTTAAGAGGATATGTTATTCTATTTTACTGATATTGCAAGCATATGCTTTCATTTTATAAACTCGGTTGTAAATTATTATAATAGATTATTAAGTTATCATATGTCTATATTAATATTTTTCGATAATAAAATATTGTAAAAGGTAAAACGTTATTGCTTCCAAGGCAATCCCTATTTTTATTGTAGTCTAAATTATTTGTATATTTTTAGTAAGATGATCT